TGGTGGAACAACTCTAAATGCGCTGTCAGCCAGTGACCCCTGCACTGTAACTGGCTGAAGTACATGGCACGTGAGTACTAATCAACAAAGCTGTGTATGGAAAGGAGCAGCCCGGTTTAGTTAAGGCACGTGTGATGTCACTGGGCAGTTGCAGCCTCTACTGCCATAGGTGGCCCGTGGGCATCAGAAGAAGCCCATCGCTTTGTACCAGTCAGATTGAAATGGGGTGTGTCCTCTGTGTGCTAGAGCTGCTGCTGGTGGCCTGAGACCCAGCAAAACAGTCCAGTGCCCACCCATGGCCACATGAGCACGTGGGGCAGTGCTGGCAGACCAAGCACCGGTTGTAGCTGCTGCTTGATTCAAGCCGTGGTGCTGCATTTGGGGACAAGCAGCATGACTGCCCTGCCCCCCTGCCCCCAACTCCTGGGGTCTAAGGTGCTCCCTCCCCCTGGCCATAAAGGCAGTGTGTCACATTCCCGTGACTTTGCCTTTTCTCCAGTCACCCCCAGTTTGCGCCCAGGCCCTCCTCCCAGGTGGTCTCAGGTGTGAGCGGGACCAGGGCGTTTTTACCCCTTGGTCTGCGTGGGCCACCTGGAGGAGCCCAGCCAAGTGGTCCCTGCCCTCCTGTGGCAGAATCCTGCCGGTCAACGAGAGGCTCGAGGGGCTGAACCAGAAGTACGTGAGTCCCCTAGACCCGTCCTGGGAGCTCCTGCCAGGGCCAGTCAGGGCCGAATCTCAGACCTTCTAAGGAGACCTCCTTTACTGTCCTGATCTCTCCCAGGAGAAGACCGCTGACAGAGAGGAGGTGGCGGGCCAGAAGGAGGGGAGAAAGGCAGAGTGGACATCTTCCCTGAACCTTGGGGGAGCCGTGTGCCCGGAGAGGAACCTCTGAGGAGGGAGCTCCCTGAGCCAGGCCTTTGCTTCAGGCAGCAGACTGGAGATAAAGTGCCCCCTACGAACAGGGACACTAGGGCCAGGGTGGCTGCACCCCAGGCGGGCAGCTTTACTCGACTTGCCAGGAGGCCAGCCTTTTCCTCACAAGTTGCAGACGTCAGTTGGAGTGACAGGCCGGGGCCTGGCGGCAGCTTGATGGGGAGCGGAGCATGGGTGGGGCGGTAGCTGGGAGGTGGCACCGTCACCCTGGCCGCCTCTGGGTCCCTGTGGTCACCGCCGCCACCTAAGGCGCGACTTCCCGGATCCCGCGACTTCCCGGATCCCTCGAGCCCCCACCCCGGACCCGTATGCGCCACGCCCTGGAAGGTCCCACGCCTCTCCCACCGTGCTTCACCTTTCAGCCTTCCCCGTGGGACCATGACCAGCGTGAAGTGAGCCACCAGGCAGTGTCCCACCCCGTCCGGGGAGTGTCGGAGAGGCGGTTCTTGGAGATCGGGGGAGGCGGGGGGTGCTCAGAGTTGGGGGTGCTATCTTTTCGAGTTAGAGTTTTCTCCCCACATATGCCCAGGAGTGGATTGCAGGATTATAAGGTAAGTCCATTTTCAGTTTTTTAAGGAGCCTCCTTACTGGTTTCCATGTGGCTGCACCAGTTTACATTCCTACCAACAGCATAGGAAGGTTCTTTTTCTCCACACCATCTCCAATATTTATTATTTTTTTAATTTAAATTTTTTGATTTACAATGTTGCATTAGTTGCTGGTGTACAGCATAGTGATTCAGATATGTATATCTGAAGAACATATATATATATATTCTTTTTCCTTGCCGGTTACTATAAGCCATTGAATATAGTTCCCTGTGCTCTGCAGAAGGACCTTGTTGTTTATCTGTTCTATACACAGTAGTTTGTAACAGCCAATCCCCAACTCCCAGTTTATCCCTCCCTCCCCAACAACCATAGTTTGTTTTCTGCATCTATGAGCCTCTTTCTGTTTTGTAAATAAGTTTGTGTCGTTTTTTTAGATTCCACATATGTGATATCGTATGGTATTTGTCTTTGACTGACTGACTTACCTCACTTAGTATGATAATCTCTAGGTCCATTCATATTGCTGCAAATGACATTATTTCATTCCTTTTTATGGCTGAGTAGTAGTCCGTTGTGTATAAATATACCACATCGTCTTTTCCAATTATCTGTCCAACATTTATTATTTGTAGACTTTTTAATGATGGCCATTCTGACCAGTGTGAAGTGATAACTCTTAGTTTTGACCAAAATCATTCTTTTAAAAAATTTTATTATTTTTTACTTTCATAATTGTTCTTTTAAAGGGCATGTTTCCTTGCATGCACATTTCATTGCAGGAGACTACCACATGTGTGTGTGTCTATTTTCTGCCTCCTCCCACTGAGCTCCATGCAGGCTGGGCTTTTGTCCCTGTTACTCAGGGATGAGTCCTCAGCACCTTGATTATTTGAATAGGTACTCTATTCTTAGGATTAAGAAGCAGGTGAATTCCTAAACCTCTTTCCACATTCCAGGCAGTGGCACTGGGTGACTGTCTGGTCCCCATCCTGGCAGCAGCTTAGAAGTCTGTTCTCTGTACAGAGGGATTCCAGGAGGGACCAGCAGGCACAGTTGAAGGTGGGCCTGCTGCCCCCAGAATGCCAACCCTCCCCACTCCTGTCCACTCTTTGACTTCAAAGATACTACTGGCAGCCTGGCCTATGTGCTCCAGGCAGGAGGCCGGAAGGCTCTGTCCAGGGAGCTTGACCAATTCAAGGGGAAGTACCTAGAGATACTGAGGGGGGTTCTCTGACAGCTGCTGCCAGAGCACCCCAGAGTCCAGCTCAAATGTGATGGGCCCCACTCACAAACAGCCCTCTGGTCCACCATTCCTCATCACGAGCAGACAAACATAACCTGACATCTCAGAGAGCTTCTTTCCAGAAGATGGAGCCAAAAGAAACAGGAAAAAGAGAACCCCGAGCACAGTGACCGAGCAGGTGTCTGTCACTCATGTCCTTAGACAAGTGAGGATGTGCTCCCAGGAACATGAAGGAAGGAGAGAACCCTTCTCTCCTCTGGAAAGAAACATTTGTCCAAGAAGAAAGAGTTCCTGGTAATTAACACTATGACAGCAGAAACAAAAGCTCAATGGAAGAAATCCCACAGGCAGCAGAGCAGAAATTCAAGGGCCAGGCTTGGAGTCTGACATCCTAAAATAAGGGCTTTGGAAAGAGGTAGCAAAACACTGTCAGGGATTTTGCTCAGGGCGGAGTCACCAGCAGAAACGACTGATTAGTGAAAAAAATCAACGACATCATTTGCGGGGACAGAAGGATGGGAGTTTCCAGACTGAGGGCCCTTTGCATGCCCATCACAGTAAATAAAAATCAAGGCACCGTGTTGTGAAATTTCAGAAGACCTGAGAAACTGCCAGGGAGGAAAACGCCTCTGCTGCTTGTGAAGAATTAGAAACTAGAACGGCTGTGGGTTCTTCAAGAGCTCCCAGGAGGGAGGAGAAAGGAAGCAAATGTCTTCAGAGTCTGGAGGAAGGCGTTTCTGACCTAGAACTCTATGCCCAAGCAAACTACAAATCGAGTAGGAGGGTATGGTGAAGACACCTGCAGCTTTGCAGTGTCTTCAATGAAAACAGCCTTCTGAGGGGGGAGGTAGGGCTCAGCGGTAGGAGGTCCTGGGTTCTATCCCCAGTCCCTCCCTTAAAAAATAATAAAAAATAGATAAATGAATGGACCTAATTATCCGCCCCACCCCCACCCCGCCAAGGGAAAACTAAAATCTCCCAGACACCTCCTGGCTTCCCCAGGAGAGTGAATCAAAGAAGAAGAATATACAGCTGGGGGCAACACAGGGCGAGAAGGGGTCCTGTCCGAGAGGAAGATCCCAACAGAAAGACCACTTGCTCAGATTGGAGTTCACCCTTCACCCTGCCCACCCTACGCCGCAGGGAACAGGCGGCCACAGGAAGTCCACGGAGGCAGCAGGCGATGGCTCAGAGCTGCAGCGCCCAGGTGTGGCAGAGAAGGAACGATGTGCCACGGGGAGGCCTGGTAACCCTTTTAACAGAAGGCAGGAGCCTTCTAATCCCAGCAAAGCCGTAGGAGGACCTGTCGGGAACTAGAGGAATTCTCCGGAAACTCTGCACGCTTGTATGTGCCTCCCTCTCCTGGGGCCAGAGTGGGTCAGGGAGACACGTTTCTCCACTTACCCTTTATCTTGTCCTTTATGCGTCCTGTGTGTTTGAGACATGTGACTGCATACATTCACATACATACATACGCATACGCAGAGAGCAGTGGCGTCGCCGGTAGGCTATGTCCCCGCCCGGCTCTGACGCCTCCGTACCCACCGGACCCGCGCTGGGACTTCCGTCCACGAGCTCCGCCGGTCCGGAGGTGAAGGCGTTCGGCCGCCCATCTCAGGCAGGAGGGAGGCGCCTCCTCCGCCTTCTGGTCACCCTTTCCACGTCTCCTTTGGAAGGAGACACG